TAAACCAACGGTCCACTGGAATCCTCAATGATTATAGCCTTAAATCCCTCCAATACAATTAAAGATTACAACGCTCTAACACGTCTTGTATAAACTGTCTCTTTATTCATCGGTTGCCACTGGGTCGGCGTGACTAACAATGTGTTACCCAGCTCATAACCAGTATTCATACAACAGTGGGATAAAAATAATTTTCCATTCAATATCTGCCTGGGCAACTGATATTGTGCTCTGAATTAAAGGGTAGGGAAGTAGAGCCATCAACGTAATACCTCAAAATTCTATAAATGAAATAAAATGGAAATGTAAAAATGTTTATTTACTTTAACGTAGGCCTAAATAAAGCTCCTTGCGAAATAGTTTGTCCAAGGAAATCCTACCACTTTACTTATTTCTGTCGCCAAGCTGTAATGTAAGCATTACCCTCCAAAACCAACATAGTAATGATCATACGGATGATGGTGAATCACACGCACATGGAACTTGTCAACTTATGTCTCACGGGCGCTGTGGCAGTGCCGCTCAGATCTTCGTGATTTAAAGCTCTGAGCGACACTGCAACTGATAGACAGGCGTGTTGGTAACGACACGCCTGTCGCACGACCCGTTCGTCCCGTCACTTCGTATCATTAAAAAAGTCCCGTACTACTCCAGTACAACCCAGGAATCACTTAACAATGATTTAAAATTAGGCTAGACCGTTCATCAGAGCCTTAATCGCACCGCTTTTATCATATCCCGGAAGGTATACCATAAAAAACTCTTGTTTTGTTTACAGGGGCAAATTCGGCACAGTATATCTATGTCGGGAGAAGTCTACCGGGTTGGAGCTAGCAGCGAAGCTGGTGTCGGTGAGCCGACGCGACGAACGACGTAACGTGGAACGCGAGGTGGACGTTATGCGACGTTTGCGCCATCCCAGACTCATACAGCTGTATGACGCTTATGATTGGGGTAAACACATGTGTGTTGTACTTGAACTGTAAGTAACAATTACTGAATTTATTATATTTTATTTAATTCAATAAATTATTATTATATTTAATTCAACTGCCGTCAGCTTTCTTGCTCAACGCATTAGCATAGCAATACAAAGGGGGAACGCTACTTCTTAGGCACCTTGCCGCGGAGACCCAATTTTATTCGTATAATTTAAAAGTCCTTGTTTTAGTTTCTAGTATTTAGCTTTTATTGTCTTTTTCAGTGCCATTTTTACATAAGATTATTTAAGTCGCTCTGCGGAATATAGAGCGCTTTCACCTTGTATTTTTCGTGCAGTCCAGTTACAGTAAATGGAATTAGTTTTGCAATAACATTATATAACCACAATGTAAGTGGGAATTAAGTCGATAAATTTCGTCTATCGTATCATTTAGTCGGTCCTGAAAGTCGAGAGCTCTTTGTCTGAACGGCAAGTAGGTGCTTTTAAATTTAGTAAAGGAATGAATATTACCCCGAGTAAGCAATAACAAATATCTAGGAGGGAATGAGAGCGATACCGAAACAAAATACCGTTACGCCCCAGAATGTTAAGACATCAAAACCGCGACATGGATACTTAAAAACCGACCTCAAATGTTCGTGGAATTACATCCATTTGCCAAGTTTTATTGAAATCCTCTCAACTGCCTCTGTGGCCGAATGGTTACCACTGCCACGCCGAGGTCCCAGGTTCGAATCCCTAGGGAGAAATATTTGTATGGCCTACATTTATTTCGCTCGTGACTTTGGGTGCAATTTGTGGTTGTCTATGTGTGTGTCCATGGCACCCGCAACACAGGGCTTCCCTAGTGCGGGGCTATGTTGAGTGTGTGTGTGTGTGCCATAATCGGATAAGGGAAAGTGTGCGAAACCGGATTCATCCCCTAGTTTAGCACCTTTAGAGGTGGAATATTTTCTTCAAATGGAACCATTGCTGAAGTACCCTGTTTCCAACAAAGAAACAATCATCAAAATTGGTTCACAAATGCCGAAGCTATCGCGGAACATACATACCAAAAAAAATACAGTTGACTCAAGAACCTCCTCCTTTATATTGAAGTCGGTTAAAAAATTTAGTCAAGAAAGGACTTATTGATATGGGTCCCGGTTAAAATGTAGCCAAGATAGTAGATACGAAAGGTCGTTTGACCAAGTTCAGTTTAGTAGCAGTAGAGGTCCTTGTGAAAGAGTTCGTCCAGGGAAGTACTGCCACCTTACCTATTTCTGCCGCCAAGAAGTAATGTTAGCATTACTGTGTTGCGGTTTTGAAGGGTAAGGGTGCTGATGAAATTACGGACACATGAGACTTGTCAACAAATTATGTCTCAAAGTGAAAGGCGCAGTGGCAGTGGCCCTCAAATTTTTGCGATTTAAAGGTCTGAGTGGCAATTCAACTGTTATGGACAGGCGTGTATCTTATCATAAGGCTTGTCCGTCGTGTCACTTGATACTATAAAAAAAGAGTTCAGTTTGTCGACACGAGATACCCCGTCACTGCGTTTTTATGTGTTAAATGTAATCTTAAAGAATTTATTATGTATCTCTACACAAAGCTAGTCAACAACAAATGGTGGCATCTCTATTGTGTTTCTATGAAAAGGTTATGCAAATGATGACACACTCACGTTTTGCGAATTGTTTCCTATAGATTTAATGCAACCTAGACGTCGAGTGAAGTATATTGTCGTGAACAATGCTTTGTGCGTGTACTAGTACTAGTTGCGTTGTATGAATTTTAAAATTTGGGTTACTTCATTATTCGTCGGCTACAAATATGGGTAGTTAACGTAGCATCACACCTACCGAAAATAGTAGCTTAAATTCAGATATTTGCTATTTGCTAATTCGTTATTTTGAGAGTTGATCTCTGATTGGACGATTTGAATTCGAAACTTGAACTTTCTAATGCGGCGCTAGACTTGAGGATAGTGCTGCGAGTGTGATGAATACAAACAAAGGCGACATTCAGAAGATAAGATCTAGAGCTAATATAGGTTACGTTTAGTCAATTTGCCTTTAAATTATATACCTATAATTCCTAAGTCACACGTTACACGTATGTAAAAACTCATTATTTTTCGTATAAAAGACTTTTGTAAAGACAATAGAACACTTTCTATAGATATTAATACAAAGATTGGACACAGAAAAATTCCTTTGATCGAACACGAACACAACACGGCGCTACAAATGGAATCAGCTAAGCTTACGAATTCTGCTATGCGCTTCTTTGTTTTTGGTTTTAACGAATTTTTGCCTTAGCGCCATTTGTGAGAAATCTATGAAAGTTTTTGTATACCTTTAAGCTACCAGAGTTTGACAAGAGACGTCACTTTATAAATTGTAATATTGATTGTAATTAATATTATGATGTTTTATTACCATGATGATTTCATTTATTTTTTATGAAATTACTCTATAGATTTTGAAAAACCTTTGAAGAACACAAAGAATACATCCACGATGTAAATTGGCAAACATATATAACATATAGTACGAAATAATGTCGTTGTAATGTGGTATGGGACACTACTCTTTGACCAAAACAGGCAAGACTCATACATATGGCTTACTTTTTTTTAAAGCCATTCTTTTGACGCCACCCATTTATTATATGCAGCGTATTCGGCACAAGCGTTAAACTGTACAGTCAATCTGTATTGATATATAATGTTACACCAGTCAGACGTTAAACCCGTGGGTGTACGACATTCGTCCTCACCTGTTGCGGTGCATTAGAGTTTTACAATAAACAAATGCATTCTATATACGTCCGTTCTAATTTGGATCTATGAATCATATGCTAATGCATTTGGAATTTCAATCCGAGTTAGAGATTAGATTAGTAACGTCAATGGAATTTCGGACGTTGGTGTAAGGTAAACGATAGTCTTTAATCAGAAGTATTCCTTCATACGTTTGCAATGACTCATCCGTTTGTAAATTGTCGATGGAGAAATTCACAACTGACAACGGCTTTAAAAACTACAACCCGATACGAAGATTAATAGACATGAGTCTGGTTAATTGAGGATTATATCCGTTTGTCCGAACCATTAAATAAAACATCGCAAACCGTGTGTTGGGTCGATAAAAACTCTTCAAATACTTGTTGTGTAGAAGTTTAGAAGAGTAATGATGCTGGTGAAATTTCAGGCACATGGGACTTGACAACTTATGTCTCAGGGTGATGGGCGCAGTGGCAGTGTCCTAAGACCTTTGCGATTTTAAGCTCTGAATGGCACTGGAACTGTTATGGATAGACGTGTCGCTTACCACCAGGCCGACGACTTGTTCGACCAGTCACTTAGTATTATTTGAAAAAAACTATGATTTAAACTGTCTGCATAGAGAAGGCTCGTACGACAGGAGAGAGAAAGAAAATTATAACAATTTTGGACGTGAAACAATCGTTGTAATTCACAATTGATTTTCCCATAATCATTCATGTAACAAGTGTAGGCAAGTAATGAAAAGGAAACTTACCGTCTTTCCTGTTCGATCATCAATGCGTCAATATCACAATAACATAACTCCAATGCAATTGATGGAATGTGGTCATCTCAGTATTTTTTTTTTTTGTTGTACTAAGTGTCCGGACGAACAAGTCATACCTGGTGGTAAGTGTCACGCCTATCCATAACAATTGCAGTGTCAATCAGACCTGTATGTCGCAAATACCTGGAGGGTACTGCCACTGCGCCCGTCGCCCCGAAACATAAGTTGACAAGTCCCAAGTGCCTGTAATTTCACCAGCACCCTTACCCTTCAAAACCGGAACGCATTGGTCACAAACTACTGCTTGGCAGTAAAAATAAGTAAAGTGGCAGTACTTCCGTGGACGAACTCTTTCACAAGGAACTCTACAGCTACTAAATAATTTCAACTTACAGTGCGTACAGCGTCTTCAAAAATACAGTAATAATAATTTACAATGTGTCTTTCACAATTTTGGCAAGCATGTAAGTCCCATACACCCTAGCGAGATCGTCAGTCAATTTCGTCGGTTGAATACCACGCTCACGCCTATTATAAATATAGTACGTGAATAATCCAGGTGCAAACGCTAGGTCGTTGACAGACGGCGATGAGCGACGGCAGGTCAGGCCACTCCTTCCAGACGATCGTTAGAAAATTTCACTTTAGTTTTGTTATGTAAACACGAGTTTTTGGCATAGAACTTTTCATTCACGTCGGATTGACATGAATGATTTCTTGATGAAAAGATTGCGCTGTGTTTGGATTAGTTCGGGATACAGCTTCAAAAAAACCTTTTTTATATACAAATCCCTCTTCGAAAAGAAGATAAAATGCATCATAATGCAGGCCACAAGTTTCCAATACATGAAATGAAATGACTAAACCTTCTAACGGGTTACAAGAACTGAGCAAATAAAGGTTGAGATACACTACAGTTAACCTTATTGAGCGCCTTGTACAGCACTTTAGCACTTTGTTAACCAAACAAGTGAGCTCTTATCACTTTGCGGTTAACCACGACGATCGTACGGACAACCACCAAGCATCTAACCTTTCAATGTTTTGATCTGGTTATTCTTGGAAGTATTACTTTTACGTTTTTCGTACAATATACCGAAGGAAATAGAAGACACAGATATTGATAAGACTTTACTTACTTACTTTATTTGATTTGAATACAAACCATCGCTTAGTAAATAGTTCAATCAAAATGTTTATCTCTACAAAGTTCTTGCAATATATACACGTCCTCGACTGAAGCTCGAGAGAATGCGACTTGCGAAAATATCTTTGCGGGACTTTCCGTTACAATTAGTAAACAAAAAAATGTGTATCCATTATATAATAAAGAAAATGTTAAACATACAGAACTTGAGAAGACATGTCATATATATCTGCAAAATTGGCTACTTAAAAAGGTTGAAAATAAGAAACATCATCCCATTTGGCAACAGGAAATCAAAAGCCGGAAGAAACGTGTAATAATTCACCTACTGCTCTAAATATGCCAAATACTTACAG